TAGTTAGCTATTGGAAAATTGAATATTTCGGTCAGGGATTATATATATTTCACGTGATTCAGCATAACAAAGATTGTTGGACCACATCGATTGGGTCGGAAACGATCGTTTATCACGTGATCGAGGAATTTTTCTGCCACGACTAGTCTACTAGGCGTTAGTCTACTAGGCGGGAAATTAGTAGATATCGATAGATCAATAAAAGAATACAATATTATTTCAAAATACGGAATATTTACCAATGTTGAATATCTTGTGTTGGGACCATTTATAAAGCAACATGGTTGAATAGATCATAAGTTGGAGAATGGTAAGTTATGTTGAAAATGTCATCTGAGTTTATAAACGAGGTAAAATGAGCACCTTTCAAAATTTAAGCATATTGAAGTACACTGTTTACAATGGGATAAAATATTATGGGATAACTAAATCCAGCTACAAATGAATACTCGATAGTGATAAAATATATATTAATTCTAAATTATCCACGTGAGAAATTGTGCAATATGACTTTTACCCAGGAAATATATTAATACATCATAACACTCAAACTAACGATTTGGGACTTACCAAACTAGCAGATATAGAAAAATCTGATCAAAAAATTTACGGAGTACTTCCTTATATAGCCCAAAAGGATTAAATAGAAATTCATACACTAAAGCTGCAGATATTTATACTTTTGAAATGGTTACGTACGAAATTGCTACAAGTGAACAACCATTTGGTGAAGTCATAACATGTGACATCAATAATGAAATACGACCTACAATACCAAATAATGTTCAAAATTTATTATTCAAAAGTGTTAGAATCCTATTCCAGAAAGAGAAGAACTTTTTGAGTTTATCTTCCTTATCTGCGATGTGGTTTTTGCATTATCAGTATAGAATATCCAAAGAAATTCTTGAGTGTTTTCAACTAAAAAGCAAAAATTAGATGAATTTGTTGAGAAGAACAAAAGCGTTTTTAGAAATATGAGCAAAATTAAGAAATTCACTTACACAAGTCGAATCTTTACCATAAGATCAAGATCGATTCCAACTGATACAGGTGCATTTTATTTTGAAATGCTTGTTTTATTTTTTACTGACATTATTAATTAATTCAATACTATTTTTCTTTGGATTGCAAAACAGAAAGTAACAAGAATGAAGATATTTCAACTTCATAATGAAACACATCCAATATTATGCTCTTATTAGATGAAACTGATACCGATAAGCATTAATTTATACACGTACGTATATGATTGGTGCAAAAGCTCGTGAATTAACTAAAAAAAAAGAATATACATGTACATGTATATTACCTATACCTAAGTATTCATAAATGTAATTTTCGCAAAATGAGTTGATGGATTTATGTCTCATTATCTTTTAATAAAACATTTAAATCTAAAGTAAGTTTAAAAATAGGGTTTTTTATCGTTTACAATAATAATTTGTTAAAAGGCTTGTGATTGGATGGATAAAGCTGTAAAAGAATATACACTAATGGGTAGAATTAAACGACCAGCATATTCACTCATAGAAATTGGATCAAACAAGCCTGGAGGTAATTGATTCTGTAATAGTGATCATTTAAGTGTTGTTGAATTTCAACAAATGGTCCAGAGGATAATTTTAATTTTTGAATTCAAAAGAGTACAAGAAGAAAATTGGTATTAAAGAAGGGGGAGAAAATCTTGAAAGTGTTAATGAAACTGATTTGGAAAGCGAATATTCTGAGCCCAAGAGGAGGGAAATTATATTAATACATAGTAATATCATTATATTTAACGTTAAATATACATCGATCGATATTAACAAATATTGACGTTGAAAAAGACCCGGATATTATTAAGCTTAAATTAACATAAATAGTGAAAAGTATCCAGGTCTAAATCGTGGATGGTATTATTTTCAGGGCACGATACAGTGCTAAACGATACAGTAGTTCAAAATTTTATTTTCTAAAAAGCAAAATAAATCTCTCAATGCTCAAATAAATGAGGTGTTTATTAAGCTTAGAAATCTTATAGTGGTTATTTTATGTATATAGACTAAGATTGAGATATTGTTTTTCCTTAGTAGTTCAACTTCGATCCATTATCGTTCAATTCATAAGCGTTTAATTCGCTAGGGGAAATTCTATGCATCTCTGGCCAGAGATGTTTGAGTTATATCGTTATACATACATATATATGATTTGAAATGTTTCGGGATTTTGATTAATGAAATTAGTTCGCTGCATAACCTCTTATTTCATTCAAAAAATTAGTAAAACACCAATATGCACATCCAGTCAGGAATGAGCACCACTCGTTTTTTTTTTTGAGTCAAAATTATGTACGTAATTCTAATGATAATATTATTAGTGGTTGGAAAATATATTTTTATTATCATCAACGTTATTGCGAATTTCTCCTTTCTCAGATATGTTTTATTGTAGGTTACGCAATTTAAATGTAAGTATCACATTATTCTTTATCGTCTATTTGCAAAGCTTGTCGCTTTTACGATTTTCTTCAAGGATCGGTATTTTATCCGGGCCTCCATATTTAGCAGCTCTTTCATAGCAGAGAATACTGACAACAAAACTGCACAAATTCTCGAAAATAACGTAAATTATTCTAATTTCACTATTATTTTTGGGATAAAGTGGAAGCCGTATACTTTTGGATGAGTGGTCGCGGGGATCGGTATATTTTTAGCAGAATATATTGATTGGTTTGATGGGATAACATCTTTTGTTTATTAGCGTTAGCCTATTTCTAATAATAAAATTTGCGCAAGTTAATTAGTGTACATTTAAAGAACTAGATAGGAACTTGGTATAAATTAGACCATCGAGCATTACTCCGGATGCGTGCTTTTCTATTGACTGACTACGCACATCAATATAGACGCAATTTGGCAACAAAGAAAAATTTACTACGGAATTCCAACCGCAAAATGGAAAATTTATAGAAAACAATAAAAGAAAGCAATCAGGAATCATTCGAAAATAAATTATAGATTGGAAAAGAAGATTGACAATTTTTGAATCATCGGAACAGTCAACTTTTTAGCTTGTCGCGTAGTACGTACATATATCACGTTAACGCAGCAATTTAGAAGTTCAATGAATGTGAAAGTATAGCTCTTTAACCCAACAAGAATGGTAAACAAATTAACACAGACATCTCATTATCTCATTTGTTTTAAGTAAAGCACAACATATGATCACTAAAAAATTGAAGTCAAGATGAATAGTAGACGATGAATATCAGAACAAATCGCATTAACATTATAAAATAAACAATTCCATAAGTGTAAGTAAACGCTTTTTGGTTTTCTAATCCGGAACATATTGAAACATATCGTAATATACCATTTCTTTAAGATATTAGTTCGCAGAAAGCTCTCACTTGGACGCATCTGATAGATTACTTTTCATGCCAAGATTTTGCGAACTGGAGATTAATCTAATAAAAGAAGATAAAATGAATATCAATTTTAAAAATGTATTATTCTATAAGAAGATGTTATTTTTTCACATTCTATATCATTTTATTCGTGAAGACACAGGCAACAACTTTATTTAAAAGCTCTTTGAGTATTTTGGTTAAGAATTTAGACAAAAAATTCAAAAATGA